TTCAGGTGGTTATGATCACAGGAGACAACCCTCTAACTGCGTGCCATGTTGCCAGAGAGCTCCACTTTATCCAAAAAGAACATACACTTGTATTACAGCCGAGCCCTAATCAGGGTAAGATGGACATTTTTGGCAGAACTACACATACAACTCARTGCAACAAGTGATTTGAAAACAAAATCATGACAAAAGCGTGATAATTGTTATTTTGTTTTCCAGTTGAATGGCACTGGGAATCCATTGATGGCAGTGTGTCTGTACCACTGCCCCCTCCTTCTGTTTCTTCGTTCGTGCATCAGTTTGACCTGTGTGTAACAGGAGAAGGGCTGGCCAAACTGAGCTGTAATCCCCGGTTACTCCACACATTGTTGCCACATATACGAGTGTTTGCTCGAGTCAGTCCAAAACAGAAGGTATGTTGTAAAGCAGCAGCAGTGTGTCAGCTATGATTTTTGTTCTTTTTTTATTTTTTTTTACCCATTTTGGATGAATTTTTKAAAGTACTCATTAGAATTGTAGATGTCATTTTATGTACAAAGGTTTACGTTTCTAATGTGTTATAGGAGTTTGTGATCACCAGTCTAAAAGGGCTGGGGTATGTGACACTGATGTGTGGTGATGGCACAAATGATGTAGGAGCCCTTAAACATGCTCACATAGGTAAGACTGATCAGTTATAATTACTAAGAGTATTAAAATGAAAGTTGCTAAGAATAAGAATGAGCAATGACGGTTTCGTTTTTCCACAGGTGTAGCTCTCCTAGCCAATGCCCCTGAGCGTTTGCCTGAAAAGAAAAAACGAGGGAGAGAAAAAGAAGCATCCACATCAGAACCCAGACCCTTACCTCCTGTTAGTTCAGGTGCCAAACTGAGCTCCAGGGCAGCCAGACAGCGGGTCATGGCTCAGAGAGAAGAGCAGCTTGCAGCACAAAAGGTGCAATGCTTTCTGAACTTCTGAAATTATGCTTTCTACTTAAAACTCATTGTGTTTGTGGAGCACAGGTTGCTGGACTTCCTTTCTTGTTTTACCCTCCTCTCAGTTACAACCATAGACATTCTCAAAATTATTTAAAAAACATAATTTGGTTTGCCTTTTACTTAAAGTGGATCTTGTAAGTTAATAACTCATAAAGTGTAGGAACATGTTTTGTGCACCTTGAAAAACATAACTCTGCAGAGGAGAAAAACTTTGCTCCAATGAGTTTAAGTATAAGAAATATGAAGCTTTAGAGGCAATTTGTCTGTGAAAGTCAGAGAACTGTTTTACAATTGTAAGTCCAATACTTAACTACATATATCATATATCCAAGAAATGTATCATGATTTATCAGAGAGACTGAAACTGTAAATGACATGAATTAGGAAAGATATGCAAGGAAACACAATGTATAACGTAGTTGGTGACTAAATATTACTTGACAATTGCTATTACAATTTTCACAGTACTTTAAAGTTAGTCATCACATATCAATATATAACTAGAAATGCTGTTAAACAACTGGAGTATTGAACAGACACTAAACACAACTAAATATTAAAAAAAAAAGATTGTAGGGTATAAAACGAGTAATAAATAGTGGTAAATAGCAATTTTGTATTTTGCTCTAAAAGTCAGCATTTTTCTATCACAGGAAAGGATCAGTCAAGTCCTACGTGAGCTTGAAGAGGATCAGATACAAGTAGTTAAACTKGGCGATGCTTCCATTGCTGCCCCCTTCACCTCAAAACTTTCTTCAATACAGTGCAGTAAGTAATTTTATCACTTGTCATAATTTGCAAAAATCCAGACATGATCTGTTTTGCAATTCTGAACATTTTTTTTCTCCCTTGATTCTCCAGTCTGTCACGTAATAAAGCAAGGCCGTTGCACTCTGGTGACAACACTCCAGATGTTTAAGATATTGGCTCTCAACGCATTAGTGCTGGCCTACAGTCAGTCTGTTCTCTACCTCGAGGGAGTCAAGTTCAGTGATTTCCAAGCGACTCTGCAAGGTTTGCTTTTGGCCGGATGCTTCCTCTTCATTTCTAGATCAAAGGTGAGAACTTAAGTTTTTAAAAGCATAATTCCTCTATGGGTAATTTTCAGAAAAAAAAGTTAATGCATGATTTTCTTACAATGTAGTGTAAGCTAGCTGTTTTTTAAATGTCAAAATTAAAAACCTTTTTCTCCTGTTTATGCAGCCACTGAAAACATTGTCTCGAGAACGGCCCTTACCAAACATCTTCAATCTATATACAGTTTTGACTGTTTTGCTGCAGTTTGCGGTACACTTCTGTAGTCTTGTGTACCTTTACAAAGAAGCACAAAGCAGAAGTCCACCCAGGTAAGTGAAGGAATGAGATAAAACACAGCAATTCTTCTTGTAAAGCTAAATGTTCACATTTGTAGCAACAACACGGGATTCATACACTAGACCGGGTACACCCTGAATAGGTTTTCATTCCATAACRGGGCCAGATGGAGACAAGCAACCATACACATACAAGTACTCACAAATAGGGCCAATTAGTTAACCTCCAGCTGAGTTGCAGCCTTTTTGCTGTGAGACAACAGTGCTAACCAGCTGCTTGTGTAACCCCATAATTGGGATAAGTGGCTTGTTGTGGCCATGCATTCAAAGATATATGTTGCATTTTGACAAGTTGTCATCTTTTACTAGTATTGTAAAGCAGCATTTACTAAGAGCTGAATTCTTCATCCACCTTTTTAATGAATAGTTTTTAAAAATCTCAACTTTTCTTAAAATGCATTGCTACTAACATCAGCTTGTCTAGAATAGATGTTGGTTGATCTTCCTTTAAGCAAGTGCTTGGTTCCATCTGATTGTGATTTACCCAGCTCATGCCAGCTTTATATTTTATATAGTCCCTTAGATTTCTATAAATGTTTTTATGGTTGAAGAACGTTTTAATATTGATTTTKTAAATGTTAAAATGTTGTTTTTACTAACATGAAATGGCAACATTGTAACATTTAATATATCATTKCTTACAGAGAGGAACAGTTTGTTGATCTGTATAAAGAGTTTGAACCCAGTCTAATTAACAGCACTGTGTACATCATGTCCATGGCCATGCAGATGGCCACGTTTGCCATTAACTACAAGGTATTTTTATTCTAAATTGTACTATTAGTTGATACCTTATTATTATTTAAAGTGTGTATATCACACCAAATGGATTTATTATGTGTGTGTGTGTGACAGGGCCACCCATTCATGGAATCTCTTAGCGAAAATCGACCATTACTGTGGAGTATAGCCATTTCAGGTTTAGCGATTGTGGGACTTCTTACTGGTTCATCACCAGAATTCAACGAACAGTTTGCTCTTGTAGATATTCCAACTGAGGTGAGTAAGAGTTATTTTTTAAAATGTTTTGTTGTTAGGTAACCTTGTAATAAAAATATATTTAGTGAGATAATGTGATCCACTTCCTATATTCTTCTTTTGCAGTTCAAATTCATCATTGCCCAGGTTTTAGTTGTGGACTTTGCTGCTGCTCTGCTTGTGGACCGAGTCCTGCAGTTCCTACTGGGCAAAGGAACCCTCAGGCTGCCTTCTTGAACTCAGTGCCAACAGCAAATGCTGCCCTTATAAACCAAACTGTAAAAGGGAAAAAGGACTTTGGAGGGGGGAAGAGAATTACAGCTTTTGTGACAGCTGAGACAGTCATGGCATGTAGTACTGTTCACTCTGTGTATTCCTTTATTTGTCCTGTTCTGTTCCTCTTGAACACGATTTGTTTTTATTGCTTTTTTGTTTTTTACTTTTATTATTTTTTTCACAACTCTTTCAGCCTCTGTTTCTTCCTTTATTGTCTTTCCTCCCCACTCCTGCAAAAGGCCATGAAGACAGCAGTATTGAGTGGAGTTTAAGTTTGTGCCAGCCAGAGTGAAAACTATAGGCACAAAAAGGGGCATTCTCCAAGAGAATTGCAATAGTGTATTGGATTTTTCCCCCTTCTTTGTTTTGTAAGAAAAATACAATAAAAAAGATCTTTAACAGTCTTATAAAGACTTAAACTTACAAATAATAAAGTCTGTAAAGTGTTTTGTGAATTAAAAGTAATTTACTGTTGAAAAATAAGTACTSTATGTCCAACTGGTCATGGACAATCATGCAGGTACCTGCAGAAGCAGGTAAGTAAAATATGATTAAGATTTGACTACCATAAAACAACTTTTTCATATCACCTGACTTTTGCCAAAACAAAAGTGCTTATTTTATCAGCATCAGTTGCTCAAACGATCAGCTTCAAGAAACTGCCTAACCTTTCATATTAACTTTTATTCAATTTTATATAAACCTTTGTATAATTAACAAAGCATCCTTTTCAAGCTCCAAATTATCGAGCTAATAATGCAATAACATTTCAAATAAAGATTGACCTGGGGCCTCTCTTTTGGCTATCAAAGTCAAACAAGTCCCCCCTTTTTTTCTCAGTATATTCTACATTAATACAAAAACATACAGAAGATTGTCACATTCAGATAACTACCTGAAAATTTTTTTTTAGCAAAGTTAGTATTTATTGAATAATAAAGYTTATGACCTACATCAGTAAATATGAAATATTGTAAATTAAATGTGGTTCCATAAACTAATAGATTTATGCATTAATTAGAAGACGTTATCCTCTTGTTTTAAATTATCTAAATTGCCATTACATTATTTTTATATTTTTGTAGATTTTTTTAAAAGCTGTGGGAATAAAAAGTGCATTTTGTTCACTGAATGGGGATGTGCACAAAAAAATCAGAGGTGTATTGCATTTGCATCCATAATTCWAGGCAGTTTTTTAACCTATTTTAAAATCATCAAAACATTTCAGATTTCTTATTGTATACATTTTGAATGTTTTTGCTAAATTTTTTTCATTGAATGTGTGCTTAGTTTCAGTAAGAACGGCCTTTTTTCTATCAAACCCTTTTCAAATGTCTAGGAATTATGCACGCCACACTACATTACCCATAATGCTTAGGTAAAAGGGGTTTGGCTTGTAGAGCGCGCGCATTGAGGAAAACTATTTGAAAATAAAATGGCGGAAAAGGAGGATGTGCGAGAACGGTCAGTATTCTCCTTTTTAAAACTCGTTTTCCTGACAGTTCATTTTAAATATTTGTGCTGTGCTCATGAAATGCAGTTTATCATTTAGTTACATTATGTGTTTCTTATTTGAGTTCCAAACTTATCTGAAWATTTGTAACATTTCTCACAGTTGTGCAGCTGTCATCGTAAATGATACTCCGATTAAGCTGGTGAGACAATATTTTCTGGGGTTTGACGCTTCTCACTTAAAAGAGCTTATTTAACCCGTATTCACTGGCTCGTGTACTSTTCGTAGGTCAACTTTGAGGGTCAGATATTGAAAAAAGGCTCTCCCGAAAGCCCAAGCTCATCTCCGCCACGAAAATCTCCCCGTATGGATTCTACATTGCCTGCTACACAGACGCCAAATCCAGTTAATGAACAGTCAGAGGCGGATAAACAAGAGRTGCAGGAGGAAAGCACAGAAAGACCTACCATTTCCACACGCAGGAAATCCTGGAGAAGAGCCACCATAACCAGACGCTCACTCCCTGCACTTCCAAGCCCATATCAGGGTGAGAGATTTGTTGCCTATTTTGGTTATTAGAGTATAATAAAGTTTTGATTTAAACAGTATAAATACATATTAATGAATCTAATTTAGCTTTGTGCAGGGGCATAAGTCCAACCTTGTCACAGCAAGAGAGGCTTGAGAGACTTTTGGATGCTTCAATGAAGGTAAGTTTTAATGCATTTTTAACTAAATTGTTTCCATAACAAATGTCATCTTTTCTCTTATCATTTGGCTGAGTGGTTAGGGGCGTCGTACTCCAATTTGAAAGTTGGTAGTTTGATTCCCCCACTATTCAGTCACATATTATAGAGCGCGGTGGCTCAGTTGGTAGAGCTGTTGCCTCTCARCAAGAAGGTCACAGGTTCAAATCCCGGTCCGGGGATTTTTCTGGGTAGAGTTTGCATGTTCTCTCCGTGCATGCGTGGGTTCCCTCCGGGTACTCCGGCTTCCTCCCACAGACCAAAAACATGACTGTTAGGTTAATTGATAACTCTAAATTGTCCCTAGGTGTGAGTGAGAGAGTGAATGGTTGTTTGTCTCGTTTGTCTATTGTGTGGCCCTGTGATGGACTTGCGACCTGTCCAGTGTGTACCGCACTGTGACTGCTGGATATGGGCACCAGTGACCCATGCAACCCTGAAAAGGAAGAAGCGTGTACAGAAAATGGATGGATGGATGTTGAAGTGTCCCTGAACCCCCACTGTCTCTGATGTGTGTCCCATCAGTGTATGTCTGGGTTAGCTTTGTAGAAGGACATAGCAAAGTGCTGTGTGAATGGGTAAATGAGGMCACAGATAATGTAAAGCGCTTTGAGTATCCTAGTTGAATAGAAAGGCACTATATAATACAGTCTGTTTACCAGATATACTGCTTCCATAATGAAGAGTGTGTTTTAACTGCATCTATTTTTATTGTTTTTATTCAGCTGGCATTGGAAAAGACTCAAAATTCACTCCAGTCAGTCCCAGAAACTTCACTTGAATCCTTCCAAAAACAAGGTTAGCAATCCATTTATTACACATTTGGTGGTTTTCATGTCAGCTGACTGGTATTTCCAATAGACCGTTAAGATTGTTTCTGGGTTATGGGTTTGTCTTGGTGTAGTTGGGCACATCCAGAAAAAGTGGCGTTGCCTGGCCAAAGACATACATGATGAATTACATAAAATCCCCTCAAGTACATCCAGGTATGTTAGCTTTTTGTTTTATGTCTTCTAGTTGTTTTATGCCTATTATAATTATTTAACAATGGGATTATGTTGATGTTTTTGCTTTGTGTTTCAGTGAGCCTGCAGTGGAAAAAGCGCTTCATACTGTACAAAAAACTATCAGCAGGCACGTTGTTTTATTTTTTATCTTCTTTCCTGAAAATGCCATTTAAATAGGAAAGAAATTAGAGTACAAAGTAGTCACAGAATGATTATAAATATTTAACATGTATCCTTTTTCCCCACATTGTGTTGTTCTTTAGGCTCTGTACTGAAAGTCAGTCATGGGAGGCACTACTGAGCAAACATCGAAGTAAAGCAGAGGAATTAGAAAGGTAAGCAAGTTGACTACTACTTAAAAATAATTTTATTGTATAATTGTGTTCTCTAAATTTTGAGTCACTGTGTTCATTACATATAGGACGTTGGAGAGAGGGCAGGAGATGGGCATATCATTAAGCTCTACATCTATGGCTCAGTCCTCACAGTCCCACGTCATACAGAGTAAACCTGACTATAATAGTCTCCTCTGTAGGCAACGACCCATGTTGCATACTATGGAAATGATTGTAAGTTGGAAATTATAATTTTGAATCACTTGTAAAACTAGAATCTTAGTTCTAGTTGGCAGGTCTCATGGACAGCACGAACATCAGTGACACTCAATAGTGGGCTTACAATGATTTCCTCCTTTAAATGCTCCTTTTGCTAGACTAGATAATGATACAACATATCTTTAACTGGGATTAAACATTTAATTTATTGTGTATTAACAATTGTGACTTTTTCCAATCTGATAATGATATTTATGAAAGCAAGTTATGAAATGAAAATAGCAGTTCTGATCTCAACTTCAACAAAGAAAAAGTAAACTGCTGAAAAGTAGGATCAGTCCAGGGCCTGGAGTGACAGCGAGTAAAATCTTTTCCTGGACTCTTGTGGTCGAATCAAAACAGAGATGTCAAAAACATATTGGCAATATGTAGCTTTCTAAATTATGTTATATTTACATTTTTATGCCTTGATTTCAGTAAAGTCAATGCACAACAAATTGTTCATTTATTAAAAGATAAGATAGTACAATACTTGCTCTCCAGAGAAAGAAAATGAAAAGAAATCATTGGGAGTCCGAGACTGCCATGATATAACCATCAGTGAATGTACACAAATGTTAAGTTGGTTGCGAAAAAAACACTTTACCAAAAGCTAAAATTAACAAATTTACAAGTTTTTTTAAGCTCTAATGAAGGAACATAGCTTGACAGTAAGAATGATGAGACTCAAAATGAATGTTACAAGAATAATTGAGTTATCACTGTTAGTCAATTTTAAATTAAATTACTTAAAGCAACATAGCTCTTTTACCTGATGAGGGTTTGTCTTTATTACTGATAATAACATTAGCTTTTCTAATTTAATTTCATTTAGCTGATTGCAGTTTGAAAATATGTCTGTCAGAAGATGAGTTTTTAGGTAGAGTTTTTTTGTTTGTGCTCAACTGTAAAAAGACTTTGAGTTGTTTAAACTCATTATCTTTTGTACTGAATTACTTYTGATCTGTTTGTTTTTGTCTATAGATGGACACTCAGTGTAAGATGATAAGACAGTTGCTGTCCATTAAGGAGGAATCACAGTTATTTGTGAAAGARAACAGTGGCCGATTGGGTAATGATTTTTCTTGTTTTTAAAAATTTCTGTGGAAATATTTGACACTTTCAGTGATGGTCTGGAAAATTAACTTTCACACTGATTACTGTTTCCTACCAGCTGAAGAGGCAGGATTCCAGGATCTTTCACCAGACCTCATCAGGAACCTCATGTCAGCACCTTTATCAACAACAACTACATAAACAATTTGTTCTCTAATGCGCACTTTAGCCTTTTTTTTTCTTCATTTGCATTTTCAGAAGTTTTAAGTTTTTTTGTATTTACTTCAAAATAAAATTTTGTGTTTTAATTCAACAACTTTATTAAAACCACAAATAGGTTCATATAAAAATGATTAAAAAAATAAGAATTAAATTCAAAATTAATTTAAACAAATATTACAAAGGTATTAATCACAAATACAAATCACTGATTTACAAAAAGGCTACACTGCCAGTGGTTCCACATTTTGGACTTAAACCTGACTGAGCTTACTGCAATATCTGTTAGTACCAGGATAATGTTATTTGTAGAAACGTAATCTCCACATAAACCTGAACATAAGGTTACGTAATACAGCATGAAAAGTGGGGACACCAACAAATAACTGACTTGGACTAGTCTATCTCGCCATACTAAGCAGCATCCTCATTCCGTCATTATACGCCACTTTAAGTTTCTGTAAACTGCTTTGTCTGTGTACAGTCTCCATAAGTGAGCAGTATACAGAGGAGTGCAGTTTGCTTTAAAAAGAACCCATTTTACTGAGACAGAACACATCCTGAACTTAGGTACAAGCATGTTAACTTGTGCATACATTAAATGTCATCTATAAATGTCCATGTCATCAGCCAGATCATCAATTATATAGTGTCCCAGGTGTTTAACAACAGCACACACTTTAAGACCAACGGGAAGCACCAACTTCTGGTCCTCCTTGGTTTTTATAATCATAATTTTATTTTTCAGTTCTTTGTACATAATGTCACTCCTGACCATATTGTGAGCAGGTGCTCAATAGTTGGACTGGCACCGCAAGGACTAAAAATGACCAGATCATCAGCATACATGATATGGTTAATTATGGTCCCACCAACAACACAGCCAGTCCCACAGTGTTGTAACCACTTTAATAAATCAACCATTTATTGGAAGGGGAGACAAAATAATTTCGTCTTCYGTTTTAAATTGACTGTGACTGATAATGTCCATGTTAAGCCAGCAGGGGGCAGTAACTGGCTAAAATTAATTGATTAAACTTGGAAAATGATCTAAGTAGATTTTTCCATAAAGCCTTAATTAAGTTATCATTTGGAAATCTTAAACTATTTAGACCACAAGTCATTAGGAAACAATCTGATGTTTTTGAAACTTTGATGGCATCCTTCAAAGATTTGTTGTGTTTATGAAGCAGATTACATATACATATA